CCCTGGTCCCTGCCCCTGACCTGTGTGCCCACGTGGGGGTCATCTAAATGCAGTGCTCACCACTTGCCCCTGGATGAATCCACCGCTACCAGATGAATTCTGTATCTTCTAAAGATATGTTCAAATCCCAACAAGTATTGGTGACTGATCATCTTTGGAAGACAGAGTCTTCAATGATGACCAGGTAAAGAGGAGGCTGTTCGGGTGGGCCTGCACCAATACATCAGAAACCCTTACAAATGAGCCGACAGGGAGAGGCAGCCGCAGGCTGAGGGACGCCCAGAGTGGCTAGCAGCACAGGAAGCTGGAAGGGCAATGGAAGACATGTGTCCCCAGGTGTCAGAGGAGTTCCCTACCTGCTAAATCCCCCCACCCCCTGCAAACACACACTGTCGTTCTGGTCCTCTGGTCTCAGGAACCTCACTTTGTGCTTCTGTTGCTTCCAACAAGCCAGTCCATGGTCTGTCCTGGCAGCCCCATGTGAGTTACAATGGTCCTTACTCATAGCGAGAATACCAGAAACTTGGTAGTCAAAGCGAGACAGGTTTATTTTCACGTCTGCAGAAGCCAGCTGTCAGTGTGCAGATGTCGCATTGTGAAGTCACGGTTTTCACAGTTCCCAATCTGAAGATTCCTGCCCTTTTCCCCCACAGGCTGGTGCAGAGTGTTGCTGTCCCTCCCCCAATTCCCCATCTTCCCCTTTTCTGATACATGGTCTTTGTCATGGCAATAGTCTGGTTTTTCAACCTTAAGATACGCCTGGACAAGCAGGCTCCAGGTGCTCGTGCCCTCTGCTGGGAACAGGTGCAGAACACCTTCTTAGCTGTGATTCTTCGATGGCCTCACACTGAAAATGGGCCATGATGCTTTACCTTAAACCCTAGATGTGTGCATACCACGGGATGACTTCTGCTTATTGTCTGTTGGGACCATTTGGAGTCCTGGCCTCTAGCTGCTCTTCCCTGCTAGAGATCTTTCCTTTCCTTCTGATCTGAGTTACTGAAAGCTGTGTCAAAGTTGTTTACCAGCTCTGCTTCACGAGCACGTGTTGCCTTGAGGATCAGAGAATAAGGTTTTCACCTGTTGGCCCACCTGACTTGTTGGGTATATAAGCCTCCGTGGTGCTCTTGAGTAAAGGGCTTCCTACCAGCGACTAGAGGTCCGTGTCTCTGTGTTTGTGTGTTTCAACCTCCAGCCCCTTGCCCGAAGCTCACGAACTGTATGGTAGCACACAGAGCGCAGGCAGGCGTTGTGCGCTGCAATTGTCTTATGTGCCCTTAACCCTCTGCCCCTCCTCTGCCAGCTCTCAGCTTTATGGATGCCCAGCTCATACCCCATATCCACAGACAGGAGCCCGTGTGGGAATCTATGTCATCACAGCTGTTCCTACCAGTGTCCCAGGGACCTCAGCACTGTGAACTAGATTCTCTGAAGAAGCCACACTATAAAAGGTCTTGCAGGCTGACGAGCCCTGACGACTACAGGTCTGGAGCTAAAGCCGTCTTAGGCTGTCATTCACTCCTGAATCTAACCTATGTCTTGGTGACTGCTAGAGGACTTTTGGACCATATTGTCTTAGCTGACCGTTAGCTCCACCAACCCAGGCACACTGTTGACCACCCTGTGGGAGCCGGACTTCACAGACACCTTACATGGCTTTCCTCCTAAGAGTTCTTCCTCTCTGGCACAGGGGCCTGGTGGTTTCTGCCAACACCGACATACTGTGCCAGTCTGGCCCGTTTCTACAGATGGGGAAGTGTTCCTGGCAGATGCTCCTTTGGGGCTACTGCTGTACCCCAGTGCACCCACCATGGCCCCAAAACAAATGTAGACACACACACCTCCACACTGTCCCTAATCAGTATCCCCCCCCCCTTATTCCCTGCTGTTCTAAACCATCTTTACCAAGCCTCTAGCTCCTCCGAGAACCCATAAGGCAGGGGCTCTGAATGCTCCCCATTCCTGTTTCTCTGCACCCAATCTAGTTGCTCCACACTTTGTCCCAAACAGAAGGGGCCATTTTCCCACCAGTCTTAGGCATGGGTCAGGATGTCCCGAGTGTCCACATCCTGTTGTCTCTCTTCAAACTTGGCCAGGGCCGGCTAACCTTAACCCCACAGCCTTGGTCCCCAAAGCTCTGGCCCTGGCAGAACATTCTCACACTGTGGCTCACTTTCTGCCCTCCGCTGCTGGTATGAGCTTGGGACAAAGGCTGCCACTCTCTGGGCCTTGGGTAGGACACACAGCTGCTGCCCCAGTGCAGCTCCTCCCTGGTTTATGAAATTGAAGAACTGTGCCCACTGTAGGTGGAGGCACACAGGAGGCAGGGGTAGCTTGGTTCTCACCTCCCTCACTATCCAGGAGCCCAAGGCACAGGGCTGGGGTGGCCCCAGAGCATGGCTACTGGTTTGGAAGAGTCAAAGTTCTAGCTAGTCCTGTGTTGGTATGGCAAGACCTGCCAGCAGACCTTGGTAAGGATACTACCAAGGTTCAATTTGGTGAACCAGTGGGTTTATCGGGGTTAGAGGGCTATGGGTGAGGGGTCAGAACATGGACAATTCACAGGCGGCTGCATCACTGAAAGCCGATCCTAGCATGGGTGACGATTCCTAAAGCTGGCACCAAGTGGCTTGTAGGTAGCTGGATGGACAGGAGTCTCCTTCAGCGGTTCCTACTACTTATGTAACCCTGCAAGGAGCAGGGCTCTGCACTGGTCAGTTTCAGGGACTTCCCAGTGTTAGTGAGCTTTCCTCCAGATTCTAGAGGGAACTGCTACATGGCAGCCCCTGCCCCGTGAAACCTGGAGCGAGGGAAGCCGACTGGAACCTTGCTGGCCCCCAGCAGAGGCTCAGTTAAGAGTGTAGAGCCTGACTCCAGGAGCAGAGCAGCCCTGGCATACAATGGGACACTCAAGTACCAGCCTGCTGAGCATCCCACACAGAGAGGTGGGAAAAGGTTGTTAGAGTCTCCCCTTAGATTCTGGCCACAGCTTTCGGGGCCCCCTCTGTTGTAATTCTGTCCCAGCTGCATTCACCAAGGGTATAAGGTGAACCGGGGTGGAGTGGGGGGGCATCACGTATGCTGGGGCGGTCTTTTGGTGATGCAGCTGTTTGGGGGGTCATCTACAATTCCTACAAGTAACCCCTCATCTCTGCTCCCACAGCTGAGCCCAGTACGGTCAGTATGCTCAGTTACCCTTGTGTAGAAGTGCTGTTCTGCTGGGTCACTGGTGCCCTGTCTGGAGAGAGCACATCTCTGAAGATACAGCAACACAGGGCTGGCTCACTCAGCACTCCCAGCAGCCACAGGAGACACGATGGCCCCACTGAGACAAGGACACAGAGAACCTGACGGGAGACAGGAGCAGGAAGCTGGCAGTGGCCATAGCCCCACTAACTTAGGCTGCCCAAGCAATCGCAGAGCTGCTCTGGGGTACTGATCGACAGAGGAAGACTGGGCCTACAGTGAGAGCATAGGTGTGTGGGTGGGTGCGTGCACGCGCGCGCACACGGGGGGCAGTCTACAGGAGGAGAAGCAGTTCTCAGCCACACTTCCCACGCGGTGCAATCTCAGCACTAAAGTGTTGCAGCACCTCTTGTTACTGCCAGGGCTGATACGTAGTAGTGAGTGACTACAGAGGAATGCTGTGTGGTCCCCAAGTAAGTTCCAGCGCGGGGAGTTTCCAGAGACAGTTCTGATGTCCCAAGGCTGCTGGGCTCTTACAGGTTCACTCGGAACCCTTCTCCCAAGTCTAGCATGTACAACAGTAGGCGGAACTCTGCCATGGTTAGAGAGCCCAAAGTGCCAGTCATGGAAGGGACTCGATCCACAAACCTCCCTACCAAGTACAGCTTCCACGTTCGCCTGTGCACACTGACAGGCACGGAACAGACTGACAGGTGCAAACAGGGCTATAACAACACAAACAAGGCAAAAAGCCCAGAGCCCTGGTGGACTGAAGTCTCTCTCAGGAGGGTGTCCGGAGCCAGGTGAACACAGGATATAGGAGGTAAAAGGCTTTGGGGGCGAGGAGGGAGTAAGAAGAAACGTGACGGAGACGGGGAAGTCAGAATTGACCACTTGGGTGAAGGTTTAAACTGTCGTGGATGCACAGCCCTCGGAGCCTGTGGGGACGGTGAGATGCAGGGTGACATGGGGGTCAGTTAGGTTCTCGGAAGGACAGCAGAGCCCAGGCTTGTGTCGCGCATCTGGACAAATGGAGTGCCCCGGCGTCATGCCCATTATGAAGCGATTACATACACCATCCACCCAAAGGGAGCCATGATCCCGCTGTGAGGCGGCTGGGCTGGATGAAGAGAGCTAAGGAGGATTTATCTTTCGGGGAGGAGCTGCGAGGCCTAAGAATCATCCAACGTTTTCTTCCAAATCCCTCACAGCGGCATAGTCTGTGATTTGGTAACTCACCTGTGGGCGTCATGCCCAATGTGAACAGATGCCCCGCACACACCCAACTACTAGTGTGCACAGACCCTAGAAAGCCACACACCCAAGGTGGCCCTGGTGTCCATGTCCACACCTTAGGTACCAACATCCCCCAGTGCCCATCCGATATGCCACACACCTGAGATGCGTGCACACAAGGCAAGCAGCTCATCCTGAGACTCCTACATCTGAGGGGTCCACACCGAAGCACCCGCAACCCCCAGATGCCAACACCCCCCTCCCGCGGTGTGCACACCTCCGCGGAGCGCCACGCGCCGAAACGCACGCACCGTGACCTTGGAAAAGGGGAAGGGCGTAGAGCCGACGCCCCTCGCGCCACCCCGCCCTCCGCGCGTGCAAGACCGAGCCGTCCTTTCCTGGTCCTCTGTCTGGAGCCTCCCGGCAACCTACACCTTTTCCTGCCGAGTAAACAGGAAGTGGCTCCACGCGTGGCGGCTGCTTCCGGCCCGGGGCCTCGGTGATTCTGAACGGCAGCGGGCTGCAGCCAATCGCAGGAGACGGCCGGGGAGCGAGCCAATCGCGGGGCGGGCGAGGGCGGGGCGCGGTGGGACGGACGCCGGGGCGGCGGCCGCGTCGGTGGGGCCGGCGGGTGGCGGCGGCGCGATGCTGCAGCTGCGGGACACGGTGGACTCGGCGGGCACAAGCCCCACGGCGCTGCTGGCGGCCGGCGAGGATGCGGGAGCGGGCCGGCCGGGGACGAGCACGCCGCTGCGCCAGACGCTGTGGCCGCTGAGCGTCCACGACCCGACACGCCGCGCCCGCGTCAAGGAGTACTTCGTGTTCCGGCCCGGCACCATCGAGCAGGCGGTGGAGGAGATCCGCGCCGTCGTGCGACCCGTGGAGGACGGCGAGATCCAGGGGGTGTGGCTGCTGACCGAGTAAGCCTGCGCGAGTGCGCGTGGGAGCCTCGCCTCTCGGCCGCCGGGTGGGCAGCGGGCGGGGGCCCTGGTGACAGGCGGTCCCTCTCCCCTCCAGGGTGGACCACTGGAACAACGAGAAGGAGCGGCTGGTGCTGGTCACCGATCAGTCACTGCTCATCTGCAAGTATGACTTCATCAGCCTTCAGTGCCAGCAGGTGGTCAGGGTGGCGCTCAGCGCGGTGGACACCATCTCCTGTGGAGAGTTCCAGTTCCCTCCGAAGTCGCTCAACAAGTAGGTGCACCAGCGCACTACGTGGCAGGGCCCCTGCGAACCCTGTAAGTTCCGTTCTTGCGAGCTAAAGGCCTCATCTTGAAGGACCAGTGAAAAGGGCCTTAAAATAGAAACTGTAGAAACTGACTTGAGGGCGGCCCAGTGCCACCTTAAAAGGGCTGCCGGCACTAAAAACCGGTTACCAGTTAGGATTTGTGGAATCCTAGCCCACTGTTAAAAGCTATGTTAAGTACTGAACACTCCCCAGACCGGGCATTTTACCTCCAGCAGGATGGGAGCACAGGGTATCTGTTCAGTCTTTTTCTGGTTCCTGTTTAAAAGAAAAGCAGATTGGCTGATTGATTCGTTGATTGAACGTACTAAAAATCGGATACATTAGAAAATACCTAACAGCCAGTTTTCAAGAGCTGGTGAGCTTGCTATAAAAGTATTGTGAAGCTTAAGAGGCCCATACCCGCTGGGTGGTGGTGGCACACACCTTTAATTCCAGGACCCAGGAGGCAGAGGCAGGCGGATCTTTATAAATCTGAGACCAGCCTGGTCTACAAAGTAAGTTCCAGTACAGCCAGAGCTACACCGAGACACACTGTCTTGAAAAACTGAAAAAGAGGCCCATACATCTGAGCCCAGTCTATGGCAATTTGAATAGGGAATCCAGGAAGCTAATGGCTGCGAGCATTAGTCAGTAACACATTCAGGAACGAAAACATCCATAATTTGGCCAGACTGAACTGTATGCCGGTTTCACTGGCTGTAAAGACAAGTCTTAGCATCACCAAGACATGAACTTCTTACTCTCAGAAAGTGCTCGCAGTGGCTAGCGGAGACCGTTGTTGTTACACTGTACCGCAGCTGTCCCTGCCTTCCTGATAGCAGCTGGCTGCAGCGTTGGACTCCAGTGGTAAGCAAGGCTCTCTTTCCCCTCTTCCATCAGGCGAGAAGGCTTTGGGGTTCGCATTCAGTGGGACAAGCAGAGCCGCCCTTCTTTCATCAACAGATGGAACCCCTGGTCCACAAATATGCCCTACGCCACCTTCATAGAACACCCGATGGCTGGCATGGACGAGAAGACTGCGTCTCTGTGCCATGTAAGCAGATCCGAGGCCCGGGGCCAGCAGTGAGTGTGAGCACTTGAAGTGCAGGTCCTGATAGTGGGGCCTCGGAACACAGGGACACGCCCATCCCGCTGCAAGATGCTCAGTCTAGAGGGGGCAAGTTGCAGTCCTGGTGAGGCTCTGTGGGTGCTGCCTCTGGTGCAGGCGGGTACTTGGGAGGTGCTGAGGGAGCCCTGAGATCCTTCAAAAGGGCACACGTGCAGCATATAGTGCATTGTGTACATGCATTCCAGACAGGTTATGGTAGGGCTGAGAAAGTCCTGTCACTGGATGACGTCATAGTCCTCATGAATTTCTCCATCTGTGATGGAGTGCACAGCATGCCAGTGTGCAGCGTGTGTGGTGGCGGTGCTGTCGGAGGGAGGTGCCGAGTCTCCTCCTGGTGTCTTCAGTGACAGAGCGGTACTATCTAGAGCTGAGTGGCGTTTGGACAGACGAGTCACCTGGTGACCCAGCCCTTAGCACTTGACCTGATGACTTCTCCGAATCCCCGTTCCCCGTGTAGTGGAGTACTGTTGTCCGCCTTGAGGTTAAGGCTCCATGTTTCTTCTCTCTTTACAGTTGGAAAGCTTCAAGGCTCTCCTGATCCAAGCTGTCAAGAAAGCCCAGAAGGAAAGCCCACTGCCAGGACAGGCAAATAGCGTGCTGGTGCTGGAGCGCCCACTCCTCATCGAAACCTACGTGGGGCTCATGTCCTTCATTAACAACGAAGCCAAGCTGGGTTACTCCATGACCAGGGGCAAGATAGGCTTCTAGTCTTCGTGGAGGGACGCGGTGTGCCACCTCAAGCTACCCACTGCGGTTGGAGAGAACACAGGCATGGTCCCTTTAGGTGCCTGATTAGAATAGTCAAGCGAATTATATATATTTAGTTGGATATTGGACACCTTGGCAACATGATATATGAAGGCAGAAATACTGGCTGTCCCTATGCCACCGTGTTCCTTCTGTAACGCCACATAAATGTTTTCTCCAGTGTCCCTGCTGGGCTTGTTCTTCCTGCTCTGCCTCTCCAGCATGCTGAGCAGAATGTGCCCTCCCACTTCTGCTGAACATAAACTGTTGGGACACCGGGCGCCAGAGCGACCCGTACCTGCACTGCTGATGCACTTGCATTAACTCCCCCCGCCCCGCCGCCCTTCAAGTTTTGTATTTTGAAATTCAGCCTGTTTTTTAAAAGCTAAATACAATAGCAGTCAGCAGACCAGTTACAAGAAAGACAGCCTGCCTGGCCACTCCTAGCGAAACTGCTCTTCCGTGAATATGTTTGACCTGAAGTCACACTTTGCAAACTAATCCAGCTTGTGTTAATACAGCAGTTTTCCTAGGCCCAGGGACAGTCAGTCTCATGACATAATCCAGGCCCTTCTGGAAGTCATGGTGGTGGGTTTTTATCATCCTGTCTCTGTTTAAAAGGGACTGAGTGGTTTGGTTTAAAAAGTGCATGTTTATAATAAGTAGACCAGCCTGCATCCCCCTGGCCCCAGGTGCCATCAGCCCCACCGAGCTTTGCTGAGCTTCACCACGCCAGCCACACACGGTTTCCCCTGTGGCTCTAGCACCTGTCAGTACACTGTAGATGCTGGCCTGTCACTCGATACCTCTGCCGCAGCTTTAAGTTAACCATGGATGTGACCAGAATGACCTCAGATGCACCTGGTCTTTGTCCTCTGCTTTTGGTCTTGTAGTAAAGACGCTGAAAACCAAATGAAGTCGCTCCTTTTTGAAGTTACTGTCACAAAACAGGTGCCCCAACTAAAGACTGTCTTGAGGCCTGAGGGACTGAACCTGCTGGCTGGCTGTGGACCCTCCCCATAGTCCTCTTTACAGAAGTTCAGATGGGCAAGTCCACAGTCCAGGTTAGAGTCCTGGTTCAGATATCCCAACATTTTGGTCTGGCTGCTTTCAGGCCATTTGCTAGAGATGTGGAGCTATGCTGGGTGGGCTAAGTGCTTCCACTCAGCCAGACAGAACTGCTGGGGGAGGCACAGGTGCCTGAGGACATCCTGCTGCAGAGGGGCTGCACAGATCAACAGTAGTCACCCTTGGTCAAGAGCACTCTGGAAACAGCTCGGAATATAGAGACATAAGGCGGTAAAGTGTTACTTCAGGATTCTTCATCCTCCTAAGATAGACCTTGAACCTATGACCTAAGGCCTTGAGGGAAATGATCACCCTTGTCCCATGGATTTGCAAATACCTATTTTATGTTACAGTTTATACATATTTACAGAACACGTCACTACAGAAAACTGGGTATCCCGTCCCATCAGGAGCCTGCGCAGCTGTTGCTTGTGTTGAAAGCAGCAGGGCCCGTCGCCTCGGTTTCCACTCAGGTCCTAGGCATGGCCATCCCGTTGTCCACAGGCTGCACCAAACCCCTCCTTGGTCTCCAGAAAACAGAGACAGAAGTGGTCCTTGCTAAGGAGGGCCAAGGAATCCCCACTCAAGTGCCAGCACAGTCCAAGCACTGGGAAGTCACCTAGAGAGACAGGTGGTCAGGGTCAGAGCAGAGACCAGGACCAGGGAGGGCATCCTATGGATTAAGTGAGGATCCTGGCGAGCCCAGACTGATGCAGCCAAAGCCTATAAAGCTTGGGCAGCAGGTCCCGTGTCAGGTTACACACTGGGCAAGGTCCTGCAAGTTTGCTAAAAGCCGTGGGGGTGGGGGCATGTCACTGCTACGCACAAGCCACCATGTCCGTCCGTTGGCTGGGATATGCTCACCTTCCCCAGGTACCTGCACGGACACACAGCCTGCGGGGGACCACAGGTACACCTTGCTCCCGCCTGTACAGATGGCCAGCCTTGGCTGCTGTGGGTCCCACTGAAATGAGCGCACTGGAGACAAATGCTCCAGTACCACAAACAGCTTCAGCTTCTGAATGTCCCAGACCCAGACAGCGTTGGGGACATTGTCTGCAAGGAAACAGAGATAGGGCACCATGTCAGTGCCGGCCCTCTTCGAGCAAACCTGGCTCAAAGGATGTACTAGGTTTCTTTCTCAGGGACTAGCACGCGAAACAAAACAAAAAAGACCCCCAAAGGCCATAAATCCCTCCTTTTTCCCTGTGGTTTTTACATTTGTAATTGTGAAACTATGCAAACAAAACCAGAGCCACAAAGGCCAATGCTGGAGGGAGTAGGCGGTCAGCCAGGGCATGGGCTGACTAGGAGCTGCTGTGCAGACTGTCCACAGGGAGAACAGCGCACAGCTGCCCTCCTGAGCTGCTTCTCATTCATTTCTGCTCTGGGCGTCAAGCGGTGCAGGGAGCAGCTGACCCTGCCCAGGAGTATGACACTGACCGTTTCTTGTTGCCAGGAAGTAGCTGTCAGAACTGAAAGCCAGCATCCCTACTCCCATCCTAGGGTTCGCTCTGTCAGCTACCGGCTTCAGAGTCTGCAAGGCAACTGGCCCAGAGGCGATCTCATCTGGAACACAGCAGGGAGGGCATGCGAGGGTGCTGGTTTAAAGGGGGGAAGGGAAAGCAGGCGAGCAAGTGTGCAAGAGATCTGCTGTGGGAAGAGGCCTGCTCACGAGTCCCCTAGGGGACAACAGTTCTATTCCGCTGCTGAGAGGGCCCCAAGTCGGGACAGGCCCATGCAGTCTGGAGCCCACAGGAAGGGTATAAACATGATCAGGTCTGCTTTCTGAGCTAGTCCCAGCTGCTTGAACATCTGGCCGGTCTACCCATCACCAGCATCTGCACAGACGGCCGGCTGCCCTTTTCCAGCTGGGAGGTGAAGGAAGATTATCACCCGGCAGAAGATGTTAGCTAAGCACCAGCCAGTACGAGCAGCACCTCTCAAGCCTGGCTGCCCTCAACCCTGCAGGGCAGGAAGTGAAAGGCTAAGCTACCGAGTACATGTCTGCTCCTGTTCTCTCTCCCCCCAATCCCTCTGAGGTCCATCAGAGAACTGTCGACGGCCAGGACTGTTAAGCTACTGTGACAGGTGGGATGAGGGCACACGGACTACAGGGCAGTGTGGGAAAGGTGAGCGTCACAGGAGAGCACTGGTCTATGCTGCAGGGAGCTTGAGACCCCAGCCGAGATCTCCCCCGCCCCACCTGAGATTCACATGGACAGAGGATTCTCATCTGAGACAAAGCACAGGCTTTCTCCCTCTGCTGCTTACATTTGCTCTCTGAGGTAGAGAGGGCACCCGCCATTGCTCGGGGTGGTGGGAAGGACAGGTGGCCCAGCCCCAGCTGTGGGATCTTCTCAGCTTCCTTATACACAACCTGAAAAACATGATTTGGCCACTAACCAGTTTGTGACAAGAACCAGGGACTCGGGAAGGTGGCCAACTTAAGTGCCAGACATCACAGTTACTGGGAAGAAGAGCACCCTTGCAGTGAAGGACAGCTCAGCTGCCACCTCAGTCCTGCTGACCAGGCTGTCCTGGAGAGATGGGCCCTGACTACATGGCTGTGTCGTGGTAAACAATGTCACAGCCATGCAGAAGTGGCTTGTGTGGGTGCCAGGCCAGAGGGCAGTGAGCAGCAAGCCTGTGGGAGCAGCAAACAGCCAGGCACAACAGACTCGCTGCTAGTGTGGGTCTTAAAGCCCATGAGCTGGGGCTTGGCTACCAGCAACTTTAAACAGTGTATGGGGGATAAGGCAGGTCACTGGAGGTGTGCCTTAAAAGCCTGTATTGGGACCTCGCCTGTCCTTCCTCTCTCTTGGCCACTGTAAGATTAGCTCTGCCCTGCCATGTGCTCCTTACCACAGTGTGTTGCCTTGACACAAGTCCAGAGTAAGAAGGCATAGGGTCCACGGACTGAAGCCCCCTTTCCTTTAAATTGATCCTGTCCCAGTGACATAGCTGATTTATACACCAGTCCTGGTAGAGAAACCATAGCACACACAGAAACCTAGACGCATGAACCACAGGCAAGCCTTGGCGGCCAGCAGGGCCAGCCTTGCACCCTGCCGTCCCTCACCTGAGCTCAGCCAAGGCCAACCACTACTACTGGAAGAGCACACGCTAAGCCAAAGCCTCACCTCTGCCCAGCTCTTCCTTCCTCCAGGTTCTGGCCTGCAGCCCCGCCCCTTCCTTGGATGGGTGACCTCTACAAGGAAAGCAGAAGTCTGTCCTTGCTGCAGACTGAGAGGACAGCACGACTCAACACTATGGAGCTCAGAGCATGCCTTCCTGGTTCCCAGACCTGAGCTGCCCCTTGCTCCCCAAGGTCTGCACAGAACAACTCTCCTGGCCCTTCCCTGCTTGTCTGCACAGAACCTGGCAGGACGGCAGGTGTTCAAGACTCCCCAGTCCCTCTGCTAACACCAGGGACCAGCAAAGGACAGAGCATGGATGAACACAGCATCTGGCTAGGACAGAGGCACAGTCCACAGAGCCTGGACTAGACATGCCCTTGACAAAAGAGGGCATGAGGGCGCAGGGACAAGGAAGACGACATCACAGTAACCAAGGAAGTCAAGAGCAGCTCACAGCACCAGAGACACCACCATACTCAAGTCAAGATTCATGCAGACTTACTGTCTTGGGATTATTAATGGTTGCAGGATGCCCAAACTCGGTGATCATCTTCCAGGTCACATGATTAAGGAGGCGCACCTGGGGAAGGAACCATGAGGATAACATGCAGGCTGCAGACAGCCCACGGAGGTGGCCAACCCCCTGGGCCATTTCCCACCTTTCCGTCATAGCTCCCAATGGCCAGGAACTGACTACTGGGGCTCCAGGCCACAGACTTGATGCCCAGGGACCACTCATAGGCACAATATGCGGAGAGCAGGCGGCCGTCCAAGGAGTAGAGCAGAATCTTGTACTGCAGACAGACATGTAGACAGGTCACAGGTACCGAGTGCAGGCTTCAGTGCCCAGCAGCTCACTGCACTAAAAGCACACACAGGTACCTGCAGGTGCGTGCTCTCGAGAAAGAATGTGCTGCTGGCCATGTGCTATACCTCCAAGCAAGTGTCCCACGCTGCCAGCACACAGCCATTCGGGGCCCACTCGATCCCTGTGAGATCCTGCGTATCTGTGTCAAAGTGCTTCCGGACGAGAGGAAAACACGACAATTTGAAAAAAAATTCCTTAGATAAGTGCATTTATTTCACAACCAGTGCTTTTGGCACACGTATCATTTCACATGCAGCACAGACAAGACAGCTGCATGCCGTCCTGGTGAGTGCTAGCCATTCCGGGCAAGGCCCACATGCCCTCACCCTCCCGCAGCCTGCTTCCCAGTGTGCCCCCTCGGATCTGTTCATGGGTTTGAGGCGTGTGTGCATGGAGGGCGATGTGCTCACGTCACAGCTCCTGAGACATCTTGCCCAGGGCCAACTCAACAGCATTCCTCCCAGCGAGGCATTCCCTTACACAAATGAGGATTCAAAGTTCATGCCAATGCCTGGCGTGCACCAAGTGTGCACACAAGGTCTGAATCACACTTAGTGTGCACTGCTTAAAGGCACACACAGTACTCCTGCCCTCTGGCCACAGAAACCTCATTCTACCTACACCAGGGACTGCAAAGGCCCCTGGGATCATCAGAACACTGGCTCTGCCCCTCTCCGCCCCCACCCCTGCCAGCAGGAGAGGACTGCACTACCCGGAGGAGCTGCCCCTCTATCCCCAGCAGGAGAGGACTACCCTACCCGGAGGAGCTGTCCCTCTATCCCCAGCAGGAAAGGACTACCCTACTCAGAGGAGCTGTCCCTCTATCCCCAGCAGGAGAGGACTGTCCTACCCGGAGGAGCTGCCCCTCTATCCCCAGCAGGAGAGCACTACCCTACACGGAGGAGCTGCCCCTCTATCCCCAGCAGGTGAGGACTACCCTACCCGGAGGAGCTGCCCCTCTATCCCCAGCAGGTGAGGACTACCCTACCCGGAGGAGCTGCCCCTCTATCCCCAGCAGGAGAGGACTACCCTACCCGGAGGAGCTGCCAGTCGCTGCACACAAAGATGCTCACATAGTCCCTGCAGTCTCGCCTCTCTGCCAAGGCCAGGTAGCGGCCATCCCTGGTGAAAGTTATTCCTGTGGAGAGAATGTACTGGAGCCAGAGCGTGGACAAATGCCCAGAACAGCAGGGACTTTACAGGGGACAAGAGAAAGAACCAGGCAAGAAAAGGGGAAGCCCCAAAAATGTGGTGAGCAGGACACTGTCACACGGGAACCTGACAAGCAGAGAGATCTCACTCCTCCAAGATAGGTGGGAGCCCAAGTACCTGATTTTTAATGAGTCAGAAATGTCACTGACTAAATGCAGTGCCTAGCTGGTTAGTATGTTTCACAAAGAAACTATAGGAGACACTTGTGGTCAAAATCCAGCTTGCTATTTTGTGTGTTTGGCACATGTGTGTTGTGGCATATGTGTGTGTGTGTATAAAGGTTAAAAGTCTTAGGCGTCTGTACTCCCCAATGGCCTTGTTGAGATTGTTTGCAACTGCATGTGCCAGGCTAAGTGGCCTGCAAGCTTCTGAAATTCTCCGTCTCCAGCTCCCATCTTGATGTAGGAGCGCTAGGACTGCAGACTTGTGTGGCCGTGCCTGCTCCACAGTGGGCTCTGGGGTCTGAACTCATGTCTGCAGGCTTGCACAAGCACTTTATACCCTGAGGTAGCTCTCTCGTCTGGTACTGCATTTCTTATTGTTTTTGGATTTATCTTTATTATTCTCAGTTAGTGTATGGGTTGTGCACAGAGCAGGAGCGCCTGCAGAGGCCACAAGTCCCATCCCCTGGAGTTGAAGCTATAGGCAGCTGTGAGCCCCTGACACGGGCGCTTCTTGAAGAGCAGTGTGTGCTCTAGCCCAGAACTTATCATTTCAAATAAATGAATATTCAGTATTAGCGTAAAAAACCCGAGGCCAAGGTTGCTGCTTCATGAATGATAAGAACATTTCAAAGAACAGAGGACTAGAGGTCACCTCCACCCAGACCCAGACTGTTGTTCAGCTACAGTAACACTTCAGACTACAAAAGTCAGAATGAACCTACAGTGCACTTCAGTTCAGTGTGACCTGCAAACTGCTTATGGCAACAAAGAAGACAGTACGACGCCGATGTGTCTGGCTCCTTCTACTGTATGTTGTTTCTGGGATCGAGGGCAGCGATGCACACACATCCCATCAGCCCATGCACTCTGCCCAGGGCTCCAATGGCGAGGGGCTCCTGTCCCTTTCCCCTGCTCTGGGACGCTCAGATGTGACCGGATGTGATGTGAGCCCTGACAGAAGAGCTAGTGAAATGAGCTGGAGATACTCAGGGGTTAAAAACGTACGCTGCTTTTCCAGAAAACTGGACCCCAGCACCCAAGACAGACAGCTCACAACCACCTGTAACTCCAACTCCAGGGACTGGGATGTCCTCTCTGGACTCCACGAATGCTTGCATTCACATTACACACACACACACACCTGATTATAAAAATAAATCTTAAAAAAAAGTGAGTGCAGTGAGGCTGCAACAGGGACTGAGGGCAAGCGAGCCCTTCCCGACTCCTGCTGTCAAGGAAATAGCACGCAAGCTCTTGCTTACAGAGACACAGGAAACTGCACAGAGCGAGGAGAGCCAGGCGATATCTAAGGACACAGAGGAAGGAACAGCCATGGAGGCTAGCTGATAGGGGTCTGCTGCTGCAGCAGCCACTGCTTTCTGCTCTCCGTGACAGACTGTGTGTGAGGGGCGCTGGCAGACTCACCCTGCTGACAGGCTTTGGGATACTTGATGTAAGACACAGATTTTGTGCACAGGGACCAGACGGTTATTCGCAGCTGCCAGGGAGAAGGGGAGAGAGAAAGGAGTTAGGATGTTTCCCGTCGCTAGGAAGACTCTCGAAGCTGAGAAAACGAAGGTGGATTCACGCTATACACGTACAGCAAGGTTAGTTTAGCATGCTTGCATGAGCGGCCGTGAGAGCCCTGATTGTCACCAGTCGTCAGAGGGGACACTGACTCCACAGCGCAGGGCTGGGGCGACGCTCAGGGCGAAGGTCTCACAGCTCAAGGAGGCAGTGGAGTTTGGAAACTCAGCATTCCTCCAAATGCCAAGTGTCTAAGATCCCAGCATGTGCAAGACAGAGACAGGCAAGCGGGCTAGCTTAACTAGAACTGGACAGCTAAGTTCAAGTGAGAGACACTGCCTCAAAACGAGGTGGAGAATAACTGAGGAAGACACGCAACATCGACGACGTGGGAACTCGCGCACACCCACGACTCAATGTCACTTCAGTGCCCTAGCCTGGTAGCCATCTCAAATCCTGATCTGCACTGGCCCAGCAGGATCCTGTCACTGAGCCCCAGGGCTCCCCACAACTCAGATCTCAGCAGCAGAGCGACAGCTGAGGATGATCCAGCAAGCCTGTCCTTTTAAGGAACAAGAGCAGCAGCTATGACTGCCAGGAGGGGCAACGGACAGGCATATTTAAATAAATACACAGGCACTGCAGACCCCAGGAACCCCCAGAACGGGGAGAAAATGGCTACTGTGCAGTGCAGCTCCAGCAGGCTCTCGAGGCCTGTTGGTGTTCTGAGAAGTGTGTAGGTGTGTCTTCCACTGCTGAGGCGACAGCCCAAGTCGGCTGTCTTCTTGTTGTCTCATAGGAGACAGGGGCTCCTTGCACTGTACAGAAGGGTACCCATGATCTAACTGTCCTGCGTGGGAACTGCATGACTCTCAGTTATGCGTCCACTCTACTAACGGATGCCTGTAGGGTCACCTCCTGACCACCAAGCATAGCTGTGGTAAATGAAGTCTGAGGGATTTTTTAAAAGCTAAAACTTAAAAGCTAGGAATAAGGTAGGGCATGGTGACACAAAGCTTTAATCCCAGTCGTCAAGAGGCAAAGACAGGCAGATCTCTGAGAGTCTAAGGACAGCCAGGGCTACCCAGTGAGACCCTGTCCCAAAACATAACAAAATATAACAAATAGGTGGCTTCCTCAGGGTGCCCTTGCTAAGCCCTGGTATTCCTTCACACCCGAGCTGAACAGTCACTTCAGGGCCACGGGCCAGCAAAGCCATCGAAGGCGACCTGCACGTTTTACTCTGTCCAAACGTCCTCTCCATTTCAGTATGTGTGTGACTGAATGAATAAAGGTACTCTTTTTTTTGGGAGGGGGGCATTAACTGAGGGTCTGAGATCTGGAGGCTGGACTCTGGTCTGCAGAACTCTAAGCATGAGGACTGCTGATCAGAGTTGTCTGGAAAACTCTCACACGCCCAGGCCACTCAAGGTGCCCAGCTAAGGTGTTAGCATAACCAGTAGAGAGCTGGCCTGTGACAGAAGACACAGACTTGTCCTTGTTTACGTTGGTTTCAGGATAGGAGGCGCATGTGGTCATGAGAACATGTCACACAAATCGGTTCTCCTTCCGGCAAGTGCGTTCGTAGAAGCCAACTCAGGTGGTCAGGCTTGGTGGCAAAAGCATTTAGCTCCTGAGCCATCTTGCCAACCCTTTATAACGTTCTAATTTTCTTCTCTAAAGTAGGATTTAAAGGGCCTTGAGAGATGGCTTAGTGGTTAAGAGCACTTGCCTGCTCTTCTAGAGGTCCTAAGTTCAATTCCCAGCACCCACATGGTGGCTCACAGCCATCTGTAATGGATCAGATTCCTTCTGGTGTGCATGAAGACAGAGCCCTCATATACATAAAATGCATGAATAAATCAATCTTTTTTAAAGACATTTTTAAAAATAGGATTTAAAAATTGTACTGTTTGAGAACTCTGACCTGCATATTACTCCAGAACCCAGACTTCCACATCCCAGCGTGTTTTCCTCCAGAACCCAGACTTCCACATCCCAAAGTGTTTTAGGCACAAGGGACAGGATGGGCCACGTTTGGCCAGCTTACATGAAATTCAGTTGTATTCAGAATGTGGCGGCCGTCTGGACTCCAGCAGGAAGCAACCAGCCCTGCGGAGCCCTCGTCGATTTTGCAGTGCCATTCTGGCTGCTCCAGTGACCAGACCTTGAGTCATAAAAGAAACACAGGGTTGCAGAGCACGGGTGCACCACCCGCAGCCTCTGTAAGGGAGAGGATGCCACCTTGTCACCTCAGGCGTCCCTTTAAAAGGGTCCGCTCATGTCTCGGATAACAGTTCACTGCCTTCCAGCACTCCCTAAACACGAACGCCTCCCCCTCCGGAGAACACAGCTCCGAGACTCACAGCATGTTAGTGCTTTTCTGTTCTATTTCTTAAACATCAAAAGTATTTGGATTAAACTATTAGAGAACATTAGGTATTTAAAGAAAAAAACTTTAGAGTTTCTTTGCATTTTTGTTTTCAAACCTAACTAGAGGATACAAAAAACCCCACTCCTTCCTAGTTACACCCCTGGGAAAGTTTCCTAATTCTAACCCTGCTACAGTAACAGCACCGGACCAATTACACAGGCCCTGTGAGTGCAGGCGCCCATCCACACAGGGGACTTACATGAGCCTTACCTATATGTCGCATGTACCTGCCTACACACACGCCTGCCCCGGTACACACCTGCACAAGCCCCCGTCTGTACATGGCACACAGGATGAAGAGGGAGTCTGCTGACCACTCTATGTGCTGGATCTGGTCCAGGCACGTATACAACTGAAGGATCTGAAGGGTCTTCCCATCCCGGATCACTAGCCGGTACTGGACACAGGAAGCCTGAAAAGTGAGGCAGAAGGCACTCAGTAGTGTCTGCTCTACAGGAGGGCTCTCTGAGGTGGGTGCCCCTCTGTGTGCTGTGAATATGTTTTATTACCATTGGTTAATAAAGAAGCTGCTCTGGCCTATGTCAGGGCAGAATACAGCTAGGCAGAAAAGCCAAACTGAATAGAGGGAGGAAGACGGCGGAGTCAGGAAGACACCAACAGCAGCCAAAGGAGTAAGATGCCAGGGCATTACCGGTAAGCCACAGGGCACGTGGCAATACACAGATTATTAGAAACGGCTTAATTTATATGTAGAGCCAGCTACTAAGAAGTCTGAGCCATCGGCCAAGCAATTATAATTAATATTAAGCCTCAGAGTGGTTATTCAGGAATGGCGGGTGGGAGAGAATCCTCCAGTAACAACAGTGAGGCCGTGCCTCAGCGGTCACCTCCTTTCCTCCTGTCTGGCATGTTTCAGAGCTGCCAGTAATTACATAGCTCGTTCCAAAATTAGAAGAAGAGAAAGCTGGTGCATACGGAAGATTTAAACGTTCTACCACGCAGTTTCATCATTGCGCACACTGCACATCTGTCAAACATTCAACTGGAATCCCCAGATTTGTACAAATAAATTTATTTTTTAAAAAAAATTAGATTGGTGTGCATGCCTGTAATCCCAGCACTTGGGAGGCAGAGACACGCAAATTCCTTAGTTTGAAGCAACCCTGGTCTGTAGAATGAATTCCAGGACAACCAGAACTACGCAGGGAAACTCTATCCTGAACCACCCCCACCACCAAAATCAAAAGAAAAAAAAAGAAAGAAAGAAAGAAAAGGGAAAAGGGTTTTTTGCTTAGGTGTGATGGGACACACCTGTAACTACCGCTCTAGGGAGATGCTGAGGCCAGCTTTGCATATTACACTATAGCCTAAAAGAACTTGCACTCGCCTCATTCCCAGAAGTCACACAAAACTGGGTGTACTTGTTTATAATACCAGTGTTCCTGTGGTCAGAGGGGAGGCAGAGACAGGGTGGGTCAGCTAGCCTGGTGTATGCAGCAGAGAACAAGAGACCTTGAATGGAACAAGGTGGAAGCCAAGCAATCATATTCCAGTTGTCCTCTGCCCTCTGTGTGCGTGGCCCCCATGTACAACTGCACACTAACACAGACACACGAGCACGTGGTGCACAGGCAGACTGAAAATAGAGAAAAGGATCCTAATTCGTCTTCCGTGGAAAAAAGAGAGCCTAGCACAGGACTTAGGTTTTCACAGGACAGCCTTGTGAGCTGTGAATTCCAGAGTTACCAGGTCCAATGAATTCTTTAAGAACCATTGAAGACACTGAAGCAGGAAGCATGGGCCAGCTCTGCCTAGTATGGCAAGACTCCCAATAAACAATTATCAGGAGTTTCACAACATTTTGATGAGTGGGCAGTCCCAAACACAAACATCAGATAACTAAACGAAACCTCCTTGCTGTTCATAAGAACTTTCAGGAAAACAACCCTCATCTGCCGAGATACTTGGAAAAAGGTAAAATGTATCGAGGTAGGATATGCTTGTGTGTGTGTGTGTGTGTGTGTGTGTGTGTGCGTGCGCGCGCGCGCCCACCTGTGTGAGTTCTCTCCTTCCACCTATCCAAGGGTTCCAGTACTCAAGGTCAGGCTTGCATGCAGTAAAAGGTAAAATGTATCAAGGTAGAATATGCTGTGTGTGTGTGTGTGTGTGTGTGTGTGTGTGTGTGTGAGGCTGTGTGAGTTCTCTCCTTCCACCCTTCCATGGGTCCCAGAACTCAAGGTGTCGGGCTTGCACAGCACTACCGTAATCTTCTAATACTACCTCTATTCTGACACTCACTCCCTACTTTCCTAGAATGACACATAAGGCGGTTAAACGACGTCTCAAAGGCCTGGATAAATAGAGTGTGGATTAAGAACCAAAATAGCCAGGCAGTGGTGGTGCACACCTTTAATCCTAGCACTCGGGAGAAGAGGTAGCTCTCTAGAGGCCTACCTCACTAGAGTGAGTTCCTGGGCAGCCAAGACTGCACAGAGAAACCTTGTCTAAAGAGGATGGTCAATGCATAAAAGGAAGCTCATTAAAAAGTACGATTACATTTGTATGCGGGGAGGGTCATGCACTGGCTGTGGCTTATGTGGAGGTTAAGACAGCTTGCACATGTCATTCTGCCCTTCCATTTGTGGGCCCTAGCGATGGGACTCAGCTCAACAGGCTTAGCGCAGGTACCGTTACTGGTCCAGAACCATAGTTTTTATAAGCCGAGTTTTTTTGTTTGTTTGTTTGTTTTTGTTTTCCCTGATGGCTTCCTAATGCCAGTGGTCATGTGGGTGTCTGTCACCCACAGAATGGACAGCTGACATCCAACACTGGGACTTAAAGCTAGTTACTTAAATCATCGGCATGTCATGGAGGAGAAGTAGCGCGGACCAAAAGGAGGGCGCCATTTAACCAGCTTACACGCGAGCAAACATAAACTATGCCGTTTGTGACAAAGTAACAATGAGCTGGCATCGCCTAACCCAACTTTGACAAAGGGAAACTGGATCCGGGAGGCTGGCATCCGCCCAGCCCGCGCCACCTGTTCCAGGTCCCCCTCCCTACCATGACCACCTGCCAGAATATCGACCTACCCCCAGCTCCATCCCTGCCCTGCCCAGGCCACCCGCTCCACATGCCCCTTCCCTACCCCGGCCCCCTGCCAAGACCCCCCCAAGCCCGGTCTGGCTCAGGCCCTCTTTCCACACCCTGATCATCTACCTAGATCTCCCCCGTCCCGCCCAAAACTCCTCCGCCTGGTGCCCCGCTTCGTCTGGCTCGAGTCCCCCTGGCCGCCCCCCTCGTCCCGCTCGGGCCCCCTTCCCGCCCCCCTTCGACCCGCTCAGGCCCCCTGCACAGGTCGCGCGCCCACGCACAGGTAATGCCCCGCGCACCGCGGCTCACCAGGTACTTGCCGTCCGGGGAGAACCTGCAAAGCAGGCCCGAAAGCTTGAATGATTCCGAAAAGTTCATGGCCGCGGCCAGCCGGGGCCAGCAGCGCCCTAAGGTACCGCCCGCAACCGCCGCGGGCCGCGGCCGGAAGTACGGAGGCGGAAGCAAGCTGCAGCCAATGGGAGCCTCGAGCGGCCGCGCGGCATTGTGGGGCGGGGAGTCCGCGCTCGTGCCTTAAAGGCACCTAGCGCCTTTGCGCCATAAAGGATCTATGTGCAAGCCGCGGAACTCGTGGCTGAATTTTGACTTCAGATAAGTCACAATATAAATATGTCCCCAGATGTTACATGAGACATACTTAGACTAAAAAACTCCCTTATCTAAAATTCAAGATTTAACTAGGCGTCTGTACTTGTAAATAAACATTTGTTTACATGTAAATACATATTAAAGTATGTAGTCGTGCAGATAAACCTATTTTAGTATGTAACAAAGTTTCTGTTACAGGGTTTAGGGGCGCGGCTCAGATGGCAGAGTGCTTGCTTAGCATAAATGAAACTTTGGTTTCGGTGCCCAGCACCGCCTAAACCGGGCACAACGGTGCACACCTTTAATCCCAGACCTGAAGGCAGAGGCGGCGGCAGTTCAAGGTCATCCTCCGTTAGTAGAACGTCTTGGCCTACAAGAGATCCTTTCTCAAACAAAACAAAGCAAAATATAGTATCTATTACAATTTATTTTCTATGTATTGTCTAAGTATAAATATAGGTTTGCTTTGAGGTTTTGTTGAGGGCGACCACGAGCAGCACGACCTCGTGATGCTCAAGTGCTTCGCAAGTCTAGGGCGAAACGAAATCGTAGGCACGTGGATCAGCTCACCTTCCTGGATGTTAGAGTGTGAACTTAGAGGCTCTTGATAGCAGCCCTGCTAGGCGTCTGTGGGACAGAGCGTCAACCGGGCTTCAAGCCCCGCTCGCTCCCCAAAGAGCCCTGCTCCTCCTGACTCACGCGGTGTCCCAAGTCCTCCGTCCCACAGGGCTCCCCATTCCCGTCTCATTCTGGAAGCTGATTGCTCCTGTTTGCACCCAGAGCTTCTGAGGATCAACTTATGGCGCAGCCGCTGCCATGGGTGCTGGGTCCCGAATTCTGAGAGCAAAGCAGACCTGGTATTGTTTGGTTAAGCTCCTAGCTCCGAACCTCTTCCTCGCCGATACATCTAATTTCTGAGTAAGATTGAATGAGGGTACTTGTACCGTTAGGAGAGAACCTGAAGAGTGCCTGGAATGCTGGCCTTTTCTGTTCCCAACCAGTCCCAAACTTGCTTGTCCCTACCCTGCACCTAACAATCGGCCTGGTTCATGGTCAGACTTTCGAGTGAGAGGGGGAAATCGGGTCTGCGCCCGACCTCTTCTCTTGCAATGCCACTGGTGACACTAACGTGACTTCGAAGGCGCGTGGGAACGAACATCTTGGGCTAGGACCACCCTGCGGGGCCACTAAGGGGTCCATAACCACGCAAGGCAGAGCACACCCGGTGGCCGAAACCGACTCCGAATTGAGATGAGGAACCGCTAGACCGCTCACTTGCCCAGCGGCGAGATCGCTGGTAGTGCAGTAGGCATCTCAAGCCAAAGATGAGCCTGTGCCTAACCACAAGCCGCTCTGTGTGAGCAATTTCTGGGCATCCGTTGAGCATCGCCTACCACACCAACACCCACGTGCACTTTCGACCAAGAAACGACTGATAACCAGGGCAAGGAAACCCGGACGGATCCGGGAGGGAGCAGGCATCAGGGGTGTATGGGCTCAGGAGGCACAACCTCTGGTTGAAGTTTGAAGAGTCGAACCCAGAGGGTCTGCACTGAATACCCTTTCCAGGCAGGCTGTGGTCTCCATCAGGCAAATCGAGAGGGGCTACGAACTGTTCTCAGAGGAGGAGACCCGCTGGTGCTCGTCGGTCAACGGTTCTCCTCCAGGGCTTCCAGTCTTCAGTTTCGGTCCCTCCTCCAGGTTTACTTCGGCCAGGGCTCGCCCTGGAGAAGGCGCAGCCACCCGGCTGAGGGCACTCCTGACCCCCTGAGTTGCAGGCGCTTGGCAGTAGAAGCTGCGAGGGGTTCGGAGGAGACGGGCATCTGGGGAGAAGGCGGAGGAGAGAATGGGAGAGAGTCCAGGGCGTCGGGTGCCGAGTGTGCACCTGGGTCCAACCCCTCGGCGCCTGCGCACCCTTCCTGGCGCCCCGAGCACCGCCAAAGGTCGCGGTCCCCTACAGCTCCGCGAAGGGCTTCGGCTACTAGCGTGCAGTCCGGCAGGGAGACCCCGCTGGGGTTCCTCTGGGCGACGCGCGCCAAGCGGTGGCGGGAAGGAGGCGGGAGGAGTGGGGCCCGGACCCCGACTCGGGCAGAGCCAGCTGGGGAGGCGGAGCGCGCGTGGGAGCCCTGGGCCGGGGTAGCCGGCCCTCCTCCCGCCACGGCTGAGTGCCCGCGCTGCGTTCCCGCCGGTCCGCTGCGAAAGGCGCTAAGCCCGCGGCAGTCCCTTTGCCGCCGCCTCCCCGCCCGGCGCCCATATAACCCGCCGTCCCTGCAGCCCGCCCCGCAGCCCAGCGAGAAGGCAACGGTTCAGCCCGGTTCTCTGCGACTCTGACGCCCCGGCCAGCAGCCAGGTAGGCAGCCCTGGGAGGGATCTGGCTGCCCTGGGAGGGATCCCTCCCGCGGCTCTGAGGCTGGGATTAGGGTGAGCGGCAACCGGCAGCCGGGATGCTAGCCGTGGGAACCGCCCCAGGGACCTCGCGTCAGTGGCAGGAGGGGCCGGAGTGGGCTACCAGAAGATCCAGTCGGTGCCTCGGTAACCCTGGGGCCTGCCTCCTGCCCACTCTGTCCACCACAGGTAGCAGGTGATCCCTGGAGATACTAGAGCTTAGGTCTCCAGCGAGTGGAAGTTGGGAGGTGCAAGGAATGCGAAACCCGAAGGCCTTTCCGTGCAAGCCCTGTAAGCAGACTAAGAGAGTCCAAAGCCAGCTAGAGCCACTCTATGCTAGCCCCGCTAGAACCACTCCACGCTGGCCCCGCTGGCCCCAAGATGCGAGTTACCTGGAGGGCTGTTGCTTCACCTGCCTCCCTCCCTAGTCTTCTAGGAGAGAATCCAGGCTGCCCGCGCTGTCTCCTGTTTCAGATCAGGTCAGATCCTTCTGAACCGGCAACGCGCTTAAGAGATGAGCACATGTGTAGGTGCCTGTCCATACACACAGAGGTGGGGGGACCCCCAAGACCCTTGGTTCCCTATATATACTGTGATCTCTCTATTAATTAGGTGTGCACTTGGGACCTGGTTTGCAGCAATGTTTGAGGAAGGTTGCTGTTGTGTTTGTTTTTCCTCATTTAAAATTCAGTCGTGTGTGTTCCTGCCCCGGTGCCCTGCATGGCATCGTCAGAGGATGACTTCTGAAGTCAATTCTTTTTCCATCTTACCGGTCTTGGGGATTTAACTCTCAAGAGTCCAGGCTAGGCAGCAAGCACCTGCTTGGTTTTTGTTTCTGTTGCTCTTTGTTATCATTAACTTGGGAAGAAAATCAACGGAGACAAAATTCATCACAAATTCTCGGCGTGTTGCAAATGCCGATCCCCCCTCCCCCCACCTTCATTCTTTGAATTATTCAGTAAAAAAAAATTTTAAAACATTACCTTGTGAACAAAAGGAAAATATTTGAAATTTTGCCATTCGTGATTGTATAAATGTGTATGTAATTTTAAAAATAAGCGGCTTCAAAGAAGTTGCATTCCCACTAGTCTGGCGGGACTGGGCTACTGGTTGGCCTAAGTGGGAGGCTGCCTATCCAGCTCGGGTACTTGCGGGATGCTGAGCACGCCTGCTCATTCCAGGTGGTCACTCCATTCCGGTGGGCACCCTGTTTGCAAACAGTCTGGGACAAGTTACTTAACCCTTTGGAACCTCAGTTTATCCATCTGCAAAAACAATCATAACAGTGTCTTTCTCAAAAGGTTGGGAGAAAAGTAGCCAGGGCGCTATATCCAAAGTGGTTGGGAGAGTGCTGATATCCACCAAATGGCCCCCAAATGTGCTGGCTTTTGGTCCTAGATTTTGACTGTACCCCAGGAAGAGGATCCGTCCCCAGGTTTTGGAGAGGTGGTGTCAGCAAGGCAGGAATCTGCCTCTGACCTGGGTGCAGGCTGGTGGCATCTATCAGGAGTAGGTCCTGTGGTAAAGATGCATCTATTTCATGTTTATTTATAGAGCATGCCCAACCCAAGTTCTGGAATGGACTTCCAGTGGTGACGCATTCAAAGGAACACAGCTAAAGAAGGGATGAAGAGGGAGGGGAGACTGAGGGCTGAGGGAGGTTCACCGGGCCGGGGTGTATCCAGGGATGTACTAGCCCCGAGACTCCTAGAACTCCAAAGCAAAGCCGTTTTCCTCATTGCCTTTAATTACAGCTGCTTGTACACCTCGATGGGAGACTGTTTCTGTCACCAAATTCAAGGGCAATTTACTGCCCAGAAGTAACACAAATGACTGTGTACATGGTGAATGGTGTTCATTACAAAAAGAAAAGAAAAGATAAGAAAAAAGAAAAAGCGAATCAGAGAAATCCTCAAAACACTCTTGTTTGTTCCTTCTAACAAGCCAGATTTAGTTTCCGGTTCATCAAAGACTACTTTGAAATGTTATTGGTACCAAATTCTACTTCAACCTCAGAGAAGAAACTGTGGAGTAATATTCTGTGACAGAGATTCCTTTAAAAACAACAAAAAAACAAACAAACAAAAAACCCTTGGTCACTCAACCTTGTTTCTGCCTAAATATGCGGCAAGGAGTTTAGCAGATACATTGTGTCATTTAGTCCAACTATAGACAGCTTAGACCAGGCAATGCCTCTTGCTGCCTCCTACCCTGCAGAACAACCTTGAGGGCTTTTGCAGACACTTTCTCTTTAAGAGAGTTTGCTTTTCCTGGACTTGTTGCTCCACAGGGGAGGACCAAAGAAGAAAGAATTGCTCAGCAAAACTACTGCTTATGAAGTAGCTGCAGGAATTAGTGGCTAGTGCCTGTTTGGGTTATGGCTGTGTTCTGGTATTAGGCTAAATAAGTTAGGATTTTGATTTGCCTGTAATTCTCCAACATTCCCTTAAT